GTGGTGGCAAAATTTTTTACGTGGAAAATCTTGATTACTTTGGTTAGTCATAACAGAGAAAATCTGTTTGACTTTCAAGTCCAGAATGAATTTGCAGGATGTGAATCTGGAGTAACTGTAGGCTGAACAGATTCAGTGACAAGTCAGTGGAGTCCCTTAACTGTAGCCTTTCTTCCCATTCATTTTTGAAGGCATGTCTGAAGGAATAAAATGGCTTAAAATTCTATTTGAATTCAAAGAGTGATTTTTTTCTCATTAGAATAGCACGTTTGGTTTTCTTCCAAAAGCAAGGTTTTTCATAGAAAACGTTCATCTTTTTTAAAGTTCTGAAGAAGAATACAAAGAACCTTAGTGAAGTATCTCAATGGATGTTTATAGGAAACATTTTCCTAATGAAAAGCATTTCTAGCATTAAAAGAAACTTGAAGACTACTGTTTGAAAATGTAGTAGAAGACAAGGGCACAAACATGCAAGTAAGAAAAAGGAAGTTACAGGGGGACTATGAGAGGCCTTAAAAATGAAAAAAAAAAGTTTGCATTTGAGGTGAAAGTGTGATTTAGTGGTAGATTACTTAGAAATGTTATGCATAAATTTTGTGATTAATGAGACTTACATTCAGGTGTTATATAGGCACTGGAACAGGTTGCCCAGAGTCGTTTGGGATGCCTCATCATTTGAAGTGTTCAGGGTCGGGTTGGATGGGACTTTGATCAGCCTGCTCTAGTGTAAGACGTCTCTCCCCATAGCAGAGGTGTGGAACTAGATGTTCTTTAAAGGTCCCTTCCAACCCAAACCATTCTGTGATTGTAGAGAAAAAAAGACATCCTTACATAAATTTGGAGGTATTTCCAGATGGAGGTCTGGAATAATGTGTAGGTTAAAGATAATGTTGTCAAGGCTTAAAAGTATGTGTAACAAAACAAGATGACTGTGATGTTGACAATACTTAACAAATGTAGTGGGATAGCAAGAAGGGCTGCAGAGCAAGGAGAGAAAGAGTATTGTGTGTTCAAAATGATTCTGGAGTTGGCAGCCGAAAGCCCTGATCACATCAGAAATGGATAAGGATTCTGGTTTTCAGTGGAGAAGAGGCAAGTCTGGAGCACAGAGTATCTATTCATAAGTGATAACTGAAATAACTTTTGAATGAGATTCCCTTGTGAGTGGAAAATAAGGGAGTCAAGGACAGAGCTCTCTGGGATCCCCACATGAAGCATAAAATATAATTAACGGTGGATAGAAACATTTAAAACAAAGAGTAATTCCATATACTTTAAGAAGAAATTTAAGAAATGAGCAGTTTCTTTTTCAGTTGAAGTCATGGTTATATGGAACATTCATGTTTCAGTCAATGTTTTGTATTTGTTTTTTTTTACAGTAGGATCAAATTTCAAAAGTAGAAAAGACAGTATACTAGAGTACTTGAGGAAAAGCCTACCATCATCTGATACACATTTTACATCTGCAGTTTATGTTGATTGCAAAGGAAGAAGTGCCGGTTTACCATTTATTGAGTTAAATGATACACTGAATTGAATTAAATCTCCATTAAACAGGAAGGAATTTTGACCAAACCAGTAATTTACATGAGAATTTCCATTAAAGCCCAAGATACTAAGAGAGAGTAAAATAAACCGTATAAACATGGAAGCAGAGTCATTGGATTTTCAGGGTGATGCTGCCTATCTCTTTTTGTTTGAAAAAAAATATGAGTACAGACACGCATATACATGAGGAAGACAAATAGAAGACTCTATTTCTAGTCTCGTGGCTGTATCTCTGTTAATAAGTAACATAGGGTCTTTTGGATGGGGTCATCTCACCTGTCTTCCTGGGTTACCCATCCATCAGGCAACAGAAGTGTCGGTCTTTCTCGGAGCCAGCCCTGCCCCAGGCGTGGAGTCTCACCCAGCAGCCGTATCGTGCTCCAGAAGTGCCTGTCTCCTCACTTTGGGAAGAGCCTCCCTCGGACACATGTCTGTATTGTAGCTGTTGAAAAGACATCAACACAGCTATTAGCTTCTGCTACATTTCACTAACCCAAATGATTGGCTCCTTATCATCCCTTAAATACTTGGTTTAAAATATAGCTGAGCTTGCATTCATTTTATATGTATTTTTAATCAGCTGTGACCGCTGGCCAAGTTTTTTATTTGTCATAATTGATATCTGATGTTATGATCTTTCTGAAATTGAAGTAACCTGCTCTAAGGTACTTGCTAAGAGAAGAAAACTAAGGTAAGTTTTGAGGCGCAGAGAAGAGACTGAAGTAAGAACATGGGTTCACTGTCAAAGAGATCCCAAAGCAAACAATACTGGAAGGGTATTGAGTGAGGTCAGCGTAGTCCTGGGCGGAGCTGCGTAGCTCTAGGCATGTTTATAACTAATTTTTGAAATTCTACAAGTGTAGCTCACATTATAAATAACCATATGTTCATTAAATAACTGAAGAAGGAAAATCTGGGAAAAGTTTGTCCAGACATTTATAACTTCTTTTAAAGGGCAGTTGATTTTTTCCATATGATTTTCAGACTAAGAAACTATTTTCATCTCTTGAGACTGCTCGTTGTTTTTGAGAGCTGCAGTAAAAGAAAAGAGCAAAGTTATCATCCAACCTTAAATGCAAAACATGAAAACGTTTGGGATTTAAGCTGACTGTTGGTTGCTTGATATAGCTTTTACTTTATAGCAGAGGTCTATAGCAAAGCTTCACTGAAAACCTAATTTAGCTTTTTTTACCCAACTCCAAAGTGGTGGTTGAATGCCTGAACAAAGAGAGAAGAATATGCGTTCTGCCTGCCAAACTGAAGAGGAGTTGTTCAATACGTATTAGGCAATTCATCCTCGTCATAAAGAATGTACTGTTTCTCTATTTCAAATTTTGTATTCAACCATAATATAGATGTATACAAAAAAGGATAAGCTTTGTATGAGAAGTATACAATGAAAGTGAATTCATAAAGTAAGAGCAAGAGTAGTTCACGGTGGAAAAAACTGGAAAAGATACAGATTACTCTGCAGACACTATTGTAAATGTCAAGTAGAGTTTGACAGCTGGTAGGTTGGAGACATAATTAAAAAAAAAATTCCATACATGTACAGACTGCCTTTTAGTGTGAAGAATTGGCACACAGTGAAATAAGAAGGTGAGTGGCATATGGGGGATTAAGGCAGCTGAGTTCTAGTGGAAACTGGAGGCAAACAAATAGGCAAAGATGACTGTAGTGGTAGCACTGGTGGTGTGTATTTGTTGATTCATGGCATAGCAATCCACACTAATTAAAGGAAGGTTTGTCTCATGCAGTTTCCCATCCTAACCAGAGCCTCTGTAATAAAGAGAAGAGGAAGGTGTCAGAGGAAAACTGTCTGGAAGAGGGACGAGGATGGCCATTTAACAGACTGCTCTGTGTCACAGTCCATTTTGATGGAAGGGAGAAATAAGGTCTTCCTAAACCGACCTAAATTGTTAGACATTATGGTGAGTTGGATTAAATAAAGATATTTAGGGGAAGTCTAATTTTAAGCAAGAATTAGCATTTCTGTCAAACGTAGTTTTTTGAAATTACTTTGCATTTAGACATCCTCTAAAGTATTAATAGAAAATCAAGTTTTGAAGGTGGAATACTTGTGCTTTGTAAATATTATTTCTGTATATATTTATTTTTGGCTTCAGTTTAGATTACGAATACAATGACACTTGGCTGTGACCCTACAGAGAGAGAGATTAGTTCGGTGATGTAAACTATTTTGGGAAGTGAGCTGTGCATTTATTTCTGTATCAATCTATTTAGTCTCTTGCTTGGATTTCTCTGGATGCTTTCATTATAGTTGTACTTACCACTTCCATTTTGCAAGACATGCTTTTTAATCAATGTTCTGCAAGTCTAGCAGTATTCCCTGACACAGTGCATCCACTCCAGATAATTGCTGCATCATGAGGAGATTCTGCTGAATCACAAGTCAATATAAATCTCTAAAAAGTGAAATATTTGAATTTTTATTTGAAATGCAACAGATTTTCTTTGCAATTTAATATGAAATACAAACTAATGACCTGTAAGTCCTATTAAGTTCTACACAAAATTGAGATCTATTGAGTCTTGAATTTATTATTTTCATTGATCTAATGAAAATAATATTCAGACAGTATTTGCTGCTGGAGTTTTAGAGCAAGTCATCAACTCAACAGTGAGAAGTCTCTACCTATGCACCTGGGCATAATGACAGTAGTAAACCCACATTTCTCAACTGTAGGCTTTCCAGCATGTGAAGGGCTTCTCTTCATTTCTGCTTATCAATTTAGTGACTAGCTTAAAGATGAGAAACTGCTTGGGAGATTACTAGGCAGGAAAGCCCCTACTTTACCCCAATTCATTAGAAAACCAAGAAAGAGAGGCTGAGATCTGTTGGTCTTAAAACCTTGGAGGACATAGGGACCAGAATTTCAGTTAATTTCACTAGTTATAGGTAATTCCTCTTGTATGTATTGAATTGGTTCAAAATGAAGAACTGTTTTATTAAATGTCATGCACATTTTACATCCATTTTAATAACTGGTAGAACATTGTTTCAAAAGATCTTACTGTGTTTAAAAGATGGAATTTTTTTATATGTTAATTGAAATTTAATTTCCATTTGAAAAAAATATGGCCATGTATAAAAGAAGGGATCATTCATTACTTTCAAGCTAAATGGTGTGTAAAACCAGTAAATGTGGGTTAGCACAAATTATGCCATAGGTATGTCGGGAACACAGCTTCATGGTAAGCAGGTTGCGGTATTGAGTTGGTGGAAAGATTGTATTTGACTGTATATTAATCACCGTGTACTAAGAAATTCTGAAAAAAATAACTAAAATATCAGTGTTGTAAATGGTTGTGCAGCCCCAGAATCTTTTTGGCCAAGGTCCACAAAACACGTAGGGTGTTGGCTGAAATGAAGTGGGCGAGCTCTGGGAGGGGGAGATAACAGCAGCAAGGCACCGTTTGCACCCCTTCAGAAGGAGGTAAGGCTGGGCCTACAGCTAAGGCTCAGGCCATGTAGCAACGACGATGGCCATCCCTTCTGTCTTGTTTCCTTTCGTGCCCGGAGGTCCCCTGTCCCTCCAGCTGGTGCCTTCCCTGGCCAATTCAGCAGCGTAGATCTGGCACACCACCATCGCTTCTCCAGCTTGGGAGCCAGAAGGTGGTTAGTCTTCCTTGACGCTAAGCAGTTCTGGTGAAGGGATTGAAGAAACTAAAAAAGCCCAGGTTTGTTTGAAGTTGTTTTTCTGTTATTTCTGTGATTGATGAGTGTGCCACTGTGTGCTGCAAGGAAGATGTTTTCTGGGACGTTTTGAGGGAGGTGCTAGCTGGAGCACACTTCCCACAGCTCGAAGGAAATCTTGGTGAGACGAAAAAAAATAGAAACAAGTTATAAATTAGATATAGAACATACAGTTTCTGTTCATGTTACCAGTAGGACTGGGGGGAAAACACTGGTCTAGCTTCTTGCAGAATTGAATTTCAGCTGAAGGCTTCAGAAAGTATAACATCAAGAATAATCAGTTACTTAGTAAATGTTTTCCATTTGAAGTGCTGTCTATTGCTCCTTACTCAGAATTGTCATTTTTACAATGTACAAAGGTTAAAGTTGAATTAGTGTGTTTTATAAACACCAGGTCTTCAAACATGAAATATAAGAGGCCATCCAGAACAGAGGAGTGTAAAGAATACATAGAGTCTTCCACCTCTGTGTCAGTGGCTTGATGGCATCATTGTCACTTTTAACTTACGTATTTAACCACCTGGAATTGCTGCTGTTTGACTTGAGAGTTCATTTCCTGGCCTCATAGGAAGTTTGAAGGGTTTCTAAATTTGCTATTGGAGTATTTCATCAGAAAGGAAGAGTTGTTGAAGAGACTTGGGAGCTGCGTCTCCTTTTCTCTGGGTAGATCAGAGCGTAAGCGCGGTGGCAGGGCAGTGTGGGGAAAATTTACACCCCTTGTGTGAATCTTTCAGTTGTTGGGACTCTCAGCCTACGATTGCTCTTAACGCCCTATTGATTCATTGCAGGACAAGAAAAGAATGAAAAAATACATAACTTATGGCCAGTTTAGACATTCTGGAGACATTCCTCAAATTATTGGAAGCATAAGTCTTCCTAAGTGTTTTGCACTGAGCAGAATTCAGATAGTATTTATTAAATGTCTTCTTTTGTTTATCTTTCCCTCTTGCAATCATATGGTAAAAGCTTCAGAAGTGGTTTAATGCAGTCATTTTTTTTCTGTAAACTGAATACTTTAATTTTGTTGGTGCTGAGCTGTTTCTTCGTTCCCCAAAATCTGTGAAGATAGGGAATTTAGGAAAGAATGGAAGGAGAAGTGGCTGTTGGTTGCTATTATTGTGTGACGGATCTCTGAGGTTAATTTGGATCCCCCGCACATTTGTTTATGTATAGTGTGTTCACGAGTCTGTGTGCACATTTGGTAGTAATACACAGAATTAGTTTTAAAGAGGAGATCTCTTTCTCTAGTGCCTTACCCGTTCTGCCTTGTGCAACAGTTGCCCAAACCTAATTCCCTTTTATGTGATATTGATTAACAGCCATGCTGAGTCTAGGACTGTCAGAGGGACTAAAGGGTATTTAATTATTCAGCTAGAATAAAGTAGAAGATAGTGCAGCAGCAGCTGTAACATAAGGCTTTGGCACTTCATCTCCAAAATATAAGAATGCTTCAATAATAACCCAGCAATTCTGTTTCCCTGATTTGAAGGAAATTCATAGAAGTCCAAAGACTAAATGTTTGGAGAATGTAAATGAGCAATGAGCTTGTCCTCAAGATCATTGCATACTTTGGGTATGTTTTTAGGCGCAATGCCAAGTGATTACATTCGCATGAAAAGAACACCATTTTACCAGAGGCACAATATTCCTAAAGTCAGTTTTTCAAAAAGGAAGAAATGTGCAAGAGCGTTTCTCTGGTTGATTTTTTGATAGCTCTATCACCTCTACAGATTGTACTTTTGCACATGTGTGTGAAGGTTTCACATTTGTTGAATGAATGTTTGTGAAAATCCTCAGTTCTCATGCATAGTTTCAGTATGAAGATTCATTGTAGAAGTATTCACGTTTGTCTGGGTTAGGATTTGGGCTGGGTTCACAAGAAGGAGTTGAATGCTAGAATTTTTTTCGTGCTTAGAACAAGAAGTATAAAAATTAAGGACAGGGTTGTGATCAACTAATAGAATTAAGATAGCTAAAATCACAGTTAGGTATTTTGTCCCATGACATTACAATGGTACCTGACAAAAATCTACGGGAGGATTTTTCTCTCTGGTCATAAATTGCAGGGAGTATGCATTAATGTTCCACTAAAACACATCCTGGTGTGTCTCGATACTGGAACCACCAGGAGGTCCCAGAGCTGTAGGCTGTTGGGGGCTGGGAGAGTACCACTGTGTCCTTTCTTTGTTCATACATTCTTCATTAGATATTTACTTTTGCTATGGTTAAAGAAGAGGCACTGGCTAAACTTGATCTAGTAACTCTGGGTTTATGGTATTTTAATTTTAAAATTGTGTTTTAAAAAATTAAATATTGTGTATATTATGCAGAATTGGTTTTGTGGAAAATAGATTAAAATTTTGAAATGCTTGGAAAGAATGACTTACAGAAATTGGAACACAAATGCACTTCTAGTATAAGATTGTAAATTACTTTTGTCTGGACTGAACTGCAAGAAACGTCTTTATAGGGTATGATTTCTTAAATCAGACGATAACAATAGTCTTGTTTGGATTTTTGCTAGTAGGGAGCAGTGGCAGCCTGTCCCAGAGCTGTATGTTTCTGTCTTTAACATCCAAGATCTTGGATGTGATATCATGCATTTACTAATTAACATAGAAAACACCAGTGTGCTGATGTTTAAAGGGGTTTGGTTTTATTTACATGTGTTCATATTCAGCATTCAACTATGGATGGATTTTTTTTCCCTTGTTTTGGGGGAGTAGGGTAGAAGAGAGAGGAAAAGAGGATCCAATAGCTAGTTATCAGTTTTTGAAATTACAATTCTTATGTTTGTCTTTAAAAATAGCCCTCCTTACAGATTAAGACTCATCAGAGCAGAATGAAAACAATGGAACAAGCAGGTGCTGTACTTTCTTGTAAAACAGTTTACTGCCCAGCCTTTCCACTTCCCAGGATCACAGAATGATATGGGGTTGGAAGGGACCTCTGGAGATCATGTAGTCCAACCCCACATCTTTTATTCCCAGTTGTGTTAATTTTTTGGAGCTTTTAGGAATGCGGATGGAAGGCAGCTCTCTGCACCAGGGTTAAACCAGATCAGACTGTGTAGATACAAAGCAGAGCAGAAAGAGTGAGTTTATGGGAAAAATCAGTTGTTGGTATGCTGAGTACGAATTAAAGTCAGCTTGTTGCGCTATTTATTTAAGAGGTGAACTTTACCGTTAATGGCGAATAGATCATGAACCGAAATAATGTCATTGTTTTACTCATTAAAGCTGGAACAACAAATTAAACAATGTTACAGTAGCACAGCTGCATGTCTGTGCACAGTCTCTTTAGAATGAGATGAGGTAGTGCTGTTAGAAAAAAATAAATTATTTTGAGTTAAATCTTTGTTGTTTCCACAATTAGACCTTAATTAATTGGTACGTGATCGGGATAGTGCAGGCCAGTTCCCAAATCTCTAGAGTGGCTGATATCTGTCCTGCTCTGTACTGCCCAGTCCTTTAGTATTTACACATGTCTGCATGGATTTTTTTAAACTGATACTGGACTAAAGTCCAGGAGGTAGTTCTGTCATTTCACAAAAAACGTCTGGTCGTAGAGCAATGTAGATAAACCTCTACAATTAATTTGTATTGGATAGCATTTTCAGAACAATGGTTAGAAAAAGTTTCTCAACAATATCATTTATTTACTAACCATCACTAGATGCACAGAAGCACTTGGTTCTATGTATAAATTCCATGTCATGCTAGAAATAAGTCTCCCACATTTCAGTTCGATTATTATTTCATTTATTGAATGGTTCAAGTTACTCAGCCTTTGGCCTTGGGCTGTAGCAGCACGCCTCAGGTGGTAAGTAAATTGCCTACAAATGCGCTGCTTGTCATGTCTTATTGCTTAATTTATTCTTTGGAATAAGTTTAGTCTTATAATAGGCGGGCGCATCACGAAGCAAAAAAGCATTAGACAGGGACGAAGTATTAGCTTTGTAAAGCCCTTCCCAACGTTGAGTCACTTGTCTTTCATAGAAAGTAATAAATACCGAAATTAATGGCATGCTTCTGCAATTTTGCAAAGTGTTTGCATCTGTCAGCAGACTCCTAATGAAGTGCCCCTTCACTAACCCTGAGGTGGGTCTGCATTGCCATCTGATGACAACATTTGAGCTCCCTTTTCATGGGGAGGAAGAAGTGAAGTGCATTGGTGGAGGGATGCCTGTACCCAAAAAATCACCAGTGAATTAGCACGTATTCATCACCTTTAATGGTAATGACAGTCTTGAGTGCATTTTTAGAGTCACGGAGTCAATACAATGCAATTTTTATGATGGTTTATTTTTAACCTGATGTTTCTGAAAAGTCACACCAGTGCCTCTTCTGGAACCAAGGTACTTTTTCCATCTGAAAACACCCTTTAGTTACCTACTTTCAAATAACTTTGTGGCTCACGAAAAAATAAAAGGAGACAAAAAAAGATCATTTAACTTCCTCATAACTAACTTTGGTCTTCCAGAGTATACATTGCAATTCACACAACAGAGAAATCACTCAGATATCAACTATGGTTTATGTTGCTAGACCCTTATAACAGTATTACTTAATGATAGGTACCTTGATAGAGTGCTCTTACATTGCTTTTTATTAAATCACAGTATATCTTACTATTCTTTGGTGCATGACTTCAGTTTCTAGAATGAACTATCATTTTGGATACTACAAAATTATTTATCTGTTTGCTCCTTAGTGAGATTGTATGCTATTATATCTTGCTACATCCGATAAAACCAAAATGTGTTTGAAGGTCTGTATCTCTGGCAACTTCTATGGATGATGGATGCAATCTTATTAAACAGTTGGTTTGATTTCTTTGATAAACTTTTGATACTTTATGCCCAGAATGGCAAAGTGTAGTACTTAGTGTCTTTTGGTGCCCGAGCCTGGGCTACTAGAACATGCCATCTAAACAAATTAGGCAATATGAAGACCCTTGAAACCTAGTAGAAAATCTTTTAAAT